TGGTTGAGCAATTTTCAAATGTATTGCTTAAATACTCAATTGACAATATTATATGTGAGCACCTAACAAAGCATTGGCTTCAGGCTCAATCGCACCCCAAAGTACCAACACTCTCTGGAACCAGCTCCAGAAAAAGGAACCACCCATCAGCCCAGAAGGATACCACAACTAATAGTATTAGAAGTCAGTGAAAGATCAAGGACAGCATGACAGATATGCTACCATTCTGAGCCGACTAAAGGTTATTGGCAAGTGTGATCATTGCCATCTCAGTACTACAGCCAATCCTAAATCTTGATTGAAATGGTCCAAATTTTTCTAAGCCCAACCACCTTACAGGGTTGTTGTTTTGGAGGAAATGGAAGGAATAATGTTCACTGCTTTAATTTATGCAATTAAGTAATAAAGGCGGGATAAAAATATAAATCAAAATAAATCATGTGTGGCAAAGACTTTAATCCAATAATTACATCAAAAGAGTTTCACACAGCCGTTTCTTCAAACATTACGTATTCAAATATTGTTATGAATTGTAACGTAATAATGATGTAAAATATAGACTGAGTTATGCTTGTTTTAAATATTAGCAGTTATCCACAACTGGAGAAAAAACAAAGCCACTATACCCTTATGGAGAAGAAAATATTGCAAAAGTTAAAAGGTTCTGTTAGGCTGCCTATTACTGTCACCAGTTCAAAGACGAAAACATCCACACCCCAAATATCACACCCAAATATGATTTTTATGGCGAGTCAACTCCTTTCGCTTTCTTAGCATCCCTTCCTAGTGCTCTTAGCCGGGGACAGAAAAGGACTTCACTGTGTTTTCCCCCGATATAGTCCTTATAATAATTTAAGCCACTTTTCCCACCATTTCAATTTCCAAGAGTAGCCATCCGAAGTTTTGTGGCTTTTCCCCCCTATACTGCCCACGCTGAAGTTTGCAGTAGTATTGCAACTCCTCCCTCTATCCGCCTACGCTCCGTCGTAGCCCGTCAATGGCTATGTCCACACGCCCATCTTATTTCATCATTAACTACAGTTTGTAAATTAATCAAATACTTGGGCTCGCATGGCAGGCGCTTAACACGAAATTCACGCTAGGCGGAAATATGGATAGCTAACTTGTCAGGCAGAGGGCTTAGCAATTGAACGTTTAGCAATCCCTTCTCCGCCCACGGTTAACTCTATTTTTACCTGGAGTTATGTTATATCGTCTTACCTGCGGGCCCATGGTCCACCACCCCATAACTCTTGCTTCACCCAGACACGGCTATAGCACTTCCACCCCATTTTCTTCACCTTCCCAAAGTAATAGTTCCGGGTTAGCAGCCACAATTATCCGCCATCCTGAAGCCGCTGCCCTTACTCATCTGATGGCATCATGTCGGCGAAAGGAAGCAAGAAGGGTCCTATAGCTTTTCTCTAGCGTATGGCTGAGAAGGAATAGCATTAGTCCCGCCTCCGCACTGAAGTGGTTGGTTTCCGGGGTCTCTTCAAAGGCCAAATGACTTGTTGCCGCCCGCTTTCGCCCCCCTCCCCACGCGTTCCGTTCTAGTCTTTAAGCGCCATTTTAAAACAATTGAGGTCGTTCTTCCGCCTTTTAAAAAAGTTTATTTCCGCGCATCTCAAAGCTGACTCGCAAACAGTGACTTTGCCCTTGTAAAAGATGTTTGGGTAGTATAGCATACGGAAAGAAGAAACAAAGTGCGTTCATTAATGTGGGCAAGAGCAATAAGAAGCAGAAGTCACTGCCAGGAGCATCTGCTCTGAAGAGTTATTGCTGTGACCAGCAGAGCTCTGGAAGCAGCCATGAAAAACACCTGCATTATAATGGATTTCTGGACTAGTACATTTCCAGAGGAAATACCGCTATTCAGTATCTGTAGCATTTAATTTTGTCCATATAGAAAAGATTACAGATAATCTTGTGAGGATGATTTCAGCATCTTTTCACTAACTGTGAAGTCTTTGGTGCTCTCTGAGTTTGGTTATTTGCTTGCAGATGTTTCATTACCCGACTACATAGCAACATCTATGCAAGTAAATGTGGAGCTTGCTTCCTGTTATATACAGTAGCTTGCCATTGTATTATTTGTATACAGTATACAGTAGTTTGTATACAGCTTGTATACAGTAGTTTGCCATTAAGTTAACTATATAGTTAATCCCAGGAACTAGGGCAAAATGATCAAATTAAGTGTGTATAAAAGTATAAATTCTTGTACTTCTGGTAAACGTCACCTTTCTGTGATATTCGGCACTGTAAGAAGTTAACACCACCCCTCTCCTAGAAAAATGAAATAGTCTAGGAAATATTTAAAAGGCACAATATTGTATTTTCCCTAAAGGAGAAACATGTTTCTAAAGACATAAACTCAGCTTCCTGCCCCCCCCCCAAAGCAGATATTTTGGTGCCAACCTATCTACAAGACAAAAGGCTGGGCCAGCTTATCTACAAAACAAAAGATCTTCACCTTCAGGACATGATAGGATTAGCCCTCACTCAAGATCCAAACCAGAACAAAGCCATTAAGCCATAATAGGAATTGCCCAAGCCCCTTCATTACATCATCACCTAGCAAGATTCAACCAGGCTTGGGACTCAAGACAACCTACAAAGTTACCCCTGCGTGGCCCCATGGGAGTCTGACAGCCAATCAGAGTACATTTATTTTATTTTTATTTGTTTGTTTGTCAAACGTACATGATAGCAGGTATGAATATGAACATGGACATGAATGAAGGAAATGAATACAAATAAATGGGGACAGGAGGACAGGGACGGTAGGCACACTGGTGGGCTCATGCACACCCCTTTACAGACCTCAGGAACGGCATGAGGTCCACAGTAGACAGTTTAAGGTTGAAGCTGTGAGGGTTTGAAGATGTAACAATGGAGTCAGAGCATTTCAGGTGTTGACTGTTGCTGAAGTCATATTTTCTGCAATCGAGTTTGAAGCTGTTTACCTTGAGTTTGTATCGATTGTTTGCCCATGTATTATTGAGGATGAAGCTGAAGAAGTCGTTGACAGGTAAGACATTGTAGCAGACAATTTCTTACACACATTTCTTACACAAGAACAGAAAGCTCTAAGGCGAGGCCGAAGAGAGGGTATAAATTTCTCTCCCTCTCTCACCCATGTGCTCTTTTTTGCCCAGGACCTCAAACCAATGGTGGTCCTGTCCACCATTAAACCATCTTTCCAAGCAGTCTCCATGTTTCCAGTGTCTTTCTTCACACTTGGAACTGAACCCTGATGAACATTTCTTCCAACAGCACCCAAACTTTTTTTTTTTAGTTGTGGACCTGTCCATTTTGGATAACGTAATCCTCACATATACCGTAGTCATTAGAGGCCAAAACTTGGTGTACCCTTCATTTAGGAAGTTATCATGTAATTAATCTTTCGGCTGAAAATTTATTAGCAAGAATATATGGGGCAAAATTCCTAAACATTTTAAAGGTTTTTTTTCCACTGCTGAATGAAGTGTCACCTAGCATGGTATGTAGAACTCTGAGTCCCAAAGCAAGCATCTCTGAGGATCCCCTAGTGGTGAGAGACTTAAGGCACCAAGCTCCCTCCCCAAGTTGTAATAATTGAGGGTAAGTAGGAAGGAAAAACGAAAGAAAACAAAAGAGAAGGGTCACATAGCCGCTTCTTCTCACTGCAGCAGCCTTTGGCCTGAGACATTTATGCAGATACAGTTTGGACTGCTTTATCTCCCCTTCTTTTGCAAGGATGGAGGAATATGAGAGTGAGGAGAAGAAGAGTGCAGCCAGGAGCAGTTGATGGGGTGAGGGATGGGGTGAGCCAGTTTAGTCTAATGGTTAAGTGTCGGCCTAGAAACCAGGAGACTGTGAGTTCTAGTTTTGCCTTAGGCACGAAACTCAGCAAGGGGACTGCCCAATCACTCACTCTCAGTCCACTATTCACGTTCCCTTCTTGCTTCTCTCAAGCTCTTCTGCTACAGTTCCTACCAGGGCCCTGCATTTGAACTACCGTATCTAGGCTGCAAAAATCTGACTACTGTAGCTACTGGATATGGCTACAAAGAAATACAGAAAACTCTAGGTCTTTGCTGCTATTTAGTACACCTAACCCTTGATTTACAACTCCAATTGGGATCAGAATTTCTGTTGCTAGGCAAAACAGTTGTTGAATGAGTTGCTCAAAACACTACCTTTTTTTGCTACTGTTACTAAGTGAATCACTTGGTCGTTAAACAAATCTGGCTTCCTCGTTAATTTTTCTTGTTGGAAGGTGACTGGGAAGGTTAAAATGGTGATCATGTGACCCTGGGACACTGCATAAATAAATGCTGGTTGCTAAACCCCCAAATTTTGATTTTGAGATGCTGCAGTGGTCGTAAGTGTGAGAATTAGTTGTAAATCACTTTTTCAATGTTTTTGTAACTTTGAAATTGGTGCTAAATGAATGGTTGTAAATTAAGGACTGCCTGTAGTCATCCGAATTTCTGCACTGCACATCTGGTAGCCCTACCGGCATGATCAGGTTTATTGAAGATTTGGGACAAAGAATGAATTGGCAGGGAAAAATCAATAAAATCCAAAATGGTTCTCTCCATTTCATCATATTTATACCACCTGCCCTATCCAGTTTTTCAAGAGTTGAGAGAAAATTATATAGCATGATAATTTACTGTATATATAACATGTCCCACCAAATTGAAATTGTCTAGGTGCATTGTAATGATCTGAGAACTGGCAACTCCCTATGCTATGTAACCATTCAGATTAAATTAGCCCATATACTATATTTTTAGAATATCACTTTTTCCCTTGGAAAAGAAAAAACTCATAGAACAAATTTCATTAAGTTTATTAAGTTTCACTATACAACTCCACATATATTTATTCAGAATTACAATGGAGTTCAGTAGTCTTTGCCCGCAGTTATGTACAGGATTGCAGCCTTCATTTGATCAATGAAGTCAATGAACTGGCTGGGAAGCCTTGATTTTTGGAACAAGTGATGTAAGGTCTTAAATATCACTAAATATTTACCTAACTTTGGCAAATTGACTGTCAAAATTTGCTCATACGACTCAGGACTAGAAGTGCTGCATAGGGTTATATATTAAGTTTATGTATTTCAAGCAGTTTAATTAATCTAAATATTATAATTTAGTTAATTTATTTTATTAACTGAACTGAAACTTGAATGCTAATTGAATCAATATTTTATCTGAGAATAACTTTTGATAAATAACATTTATTTTTGCATCTTAATATAAACATTAAATAACTATTTTATTGCTTGCTACCAACAGAATATCAACAGATAGAAATCTGCTTCTGTTTGCACAATTTGAGAAGGAAATTGCTTCATTTTTTTTTTTTGTTAAATAATGGCTTTGAGAGCTTTTCAAATACCAGCATTGCTTCTTGTTTTTCTGAGTTTTATATTTTTACTTGCTACTACTACATCCAGCAATTGGAGAATATCAAGTATAGTCAATACTACAAATTGGAAGTATGAAGGTCTGTGGATGAATTGCGAAGCTACTTCATTGGGTTTCATTCAGTGCAATACATCGTACTTGCTCTTAAGTTCAGACAGTAAGTTGTGTTTTTATATATAAATGATGGGTTGCTTTTGTATTTTTAACACTATGAAATTGCAATATGTTTATTTAATATTATATGTTATCAAAATACATGAAACAATATTTATGCAAATCTATACACTTTCATAGAATTCGTAGAATTCTCTGATTTAATACTGGGTTGAACTTATTTGTTACTGAAAACATTGACAGTGTTGAAAGCAACATATAGAAATAATATAGTTTGCCTGCATTTGAGTCATGTCAGCACTGCCAGTAGATAGAGTGTAGAATTATATATACTCTCTATGGCTTTCCTTTTCTTTGATGTTTGAACATAAGTCTGTGCCAGTCTCCCTATTTTCTGATATCTGTCCCATGTGTATATTTTTTGTTTTGCATGTTTTATTGAATTTTTTAATATGAGATGCTAGAAAAGGCTTTAATTATTCTATCCTTAATATGCTGTAAAAGACTTTAGAACTTGAATTTCAAAAAGTTTACATTTATATAAACATTAAGACTGGAATCCTTCATGGGAACCATTGAGGCTATTAAAATATATTTGCTTTACTCTAGAAAAAGAAGAAAAAAATTTAAAAAAAAGAAAGAAAAAATAAATTTTTAAAAAATCCCAAAAGTTATCACAATATAGAAAAAATATCATTTTAAACTCCATTTTCATAAATCTGAAATGAAATTGTCTTTCCGTAATAAAAAAAATAATCTTCAATCATATGATTCTTCCCCAAATCCTATGAACAAACTTATGAAAATTTGACCAGAATAGGACAATTGTGAGACAAGTTCATATTATATGTGTAAGTCCTCTCCATCATTTTATATTTTCAGCAAAAATATTATCTGAAACATCCAATAAATATGAAATAATTGGGTCCTGTGCCATTAAGAGCTTTGTAGGTAACTGCCACCAAGTTGAATTGAACCCAGAACATACTGGCAACCAATGCAGTTTGCAGAGCCAAGGTTAACTTATTAACTTATAGAAGCATAATTCCCTGCCCATGGTGTACTGTACCAGCTACAGCTTGAAGGTCAATAATTTGGTCAAAGACATTCTGGACATTTTACAATATTGATGTAAAAATAATAACCTTTAGGCCCACCACAACATGCAGCCCACCAAGCTGCCTTGTATGTACAGCATGCTACCGGGTTTTTTGGGGTGTTTTTTTTTTAAAAAACTCAACAAATGTGCTGTTGCTGCTTCCAGGAAGGAGCCATCGCTGCCTTGAAGATACATTGCCAAGGGCTTTCAGGCATGTGGAGGCTATAGCAAACAGGAAGACCTGCCACTAAGGCAATGGTCATATAAGCAGGGCTTGAATTGGTTCTACAAAACTAATTTGAGAAAACACCTCAGACAACCATTCCATAGTTCACACAACAATAAAATGAGGGAAGACTGAAGCATGTTCAGACTTACAAGATTTTGTTACCATAGTATTACAATAACAATACTGTAGTCCCAACCTATATGGTGTTGGTGCTTAATTTTGCAGAGAGAGAGACAGAGACAGATTCCAAACCTTCCTGGTATGTCTTTCTTTGATGTGTGTGTTCACATATTTATTCAGTGAAATAATTTGCTGAATTGAAAAATATCTACATTTGAAGTCTATATTTATATTATGTTATGAAAAGAAAATAATATAAAAGTTTCTTCACTCCAAAGTGGTTGATCTTTTTGTGAAGGCATATTATTTGATTTACCTTCAAATTCTTGCCATTTCATAGGAATTATAAATATTAAAAATAAAACAAATAAATTCGTCCATATAACTTTTTCTGTGTAAAAAAATTAAATTTGTATTTTGAGAGACAGAGTATATAAAATTCTAGTGCTTTGAAATAAAAGGAAGAAAAGCAATAATTTTATGATGGTTGGGATTGATTTGTGACAAGGGTATAGCTTTGTATAATAAAAGAACATTCTGCTTGTAAAGACTAATCTTGTGTCCATGAAATGGGGCAGTTATCTGATGTATTAGTGATACAATGCTCTGCATTAATGGTAATTGGTTATTTATTTATGTATGTAATATATGTAAACAAATCATCTGCTTACATACATTGAATAATGTCACATGCCCTCGTCACCTCTCGCCTTGACTACTGCAACGCTCTCTACATGGGGCTCCCCTTGAAGAGCACCCGGAGGCTCCAACTGGTCCAGAATGCAGCAGCGCGGGTAGTGATGGGAGCAGCATGGCGCTCCCATGTAACACCGTTCCTGCGCGAGCTGCACTGGCTCCCAGTGGTCTTCCGGGTGCGCTTCAAGGTGCTGGTTATCACCTTTAAAGCGCTCCATGGTATCGGGCCTAGCTATCTTCGAGACCGCCTGCTGCTACCGACGACCTCCCATCGTCCCGTGCGCTCCCACAGAGAGGGCCTCCTCAGGGTGCCATCAGCCAATCAATGTAGGCTGGTGACCCCCAGGGGAAGGCCTTCTCTGTGGGGGCACCTACCCTCTGGAATCAATTGCCCCCAGAGATAAGGAGAATCCAAGACCTTAGTGCCTTCCGCCGTGCCCTTAAAACCCACTTTTTCCAGCAAGCCGGGCTGGCTTAAGAAGAAATTTTAAATGTTTTAATTGGTTTGGATTTTTAATTTTGGGCCAAATTTATATATATTTTAATTATTTTTTAATATTTGTATTTTATGTTTTTTAATTCTGGCTGTACACCACCCTGAGTCCTCAGGGAGAAGGGCGGTACATAAATTTAAAATAAAAAAAAAATTAAAAAAGATTTATAGCAACTGTTGGTTTATTTTTCTTCAATGTTGTTTACTTCTCATCTCCCCAAATTATTCTTTTAGAAGCAAAGCTATACAGTACGTTCTCTCTTAGTTCTTTGCTTCTTTCAGATAGTTTAATGCTCCTGCTTTGCTATTTTCATCAATTGAAGTGTGCTGGTTACTAGATGTGCAAACAGTTGAGAGATATAAGTAGGGATAGTGAAAAGTCCCACGATAAATTCAGTAATTTCGTTTCTTTAATCAAGAGAAAAATATTATATACCTACCTAAATAACTCAGGTTGGGAATCTGCTTGAGGAAAAGGTTGTATATTCCCCAACTACAGTTTTTCTCTTTCAATATTTTATTTATGCATCTTTCACATAGCAACATGAGTAGCTGAGTACACAGAAAGTAATTTGAAACATCATAATAGATCGTTCTGACTACAAGAGATACTTGAATATTAGAAAGCCATGACATTCTGCATGCTATCCACTTTGCTTCCAGTCAAGTTTTGATTAATGGATGGAAAGGCAACATCCATCATTTGCTCTGCACTAAAATCAAAAACTCTGGTAATTTTTTTTCTCTCCTGCAGCTTTTATTCAAATATGTCGAGCTCTGATGATTACATCCCTGGTGTTGGGGCTGTGCGGAACTCTGCTGGCATTACTCAGTTTGAAATGCCCTCAGCTTGGTTTCAGTGATGAAAGAAAAAAAGGAAAGATTTCCATGATGAGTGGAATGGTATTTGCTTTGGCAGGTGAGAAATCGTATAATGGACATTTATGAAGGGAAAGTTTCTTAAAGCTATGTAGAAATATCTTGATTTATTCTTAACTGGTTCCTTGGGAGACCTTGTCATTTGTATTAAGTAAGGGATGGGATGAGCTAAAGGAAAAAATATATGAAAATAGGTTAATTGAAAAGTTTCTTTAGAGTGATTTGGAAAGCAATAAAAGTATAATTCCCTTAGATGTGTTCTGAATCTGAGTTATTATGACACAGTTTAACTATGTTTACTTAATTGCTTATGACACTTAACTGTCCCCTTCTGAGAAACAAACCAAACATATTAACTTTTTTTTTTTAAAACAAATGACTGCTCTAAATTTATTTGCAGTTTTGCTAATTTTTTATTTCTAGGATAGGTCACATTAGTTCTCTGAAATAGCATTGAAGAGGAGATATACACAGTACATTTAAAGGTGATTTTCACAAAATGAAAAAAGAATACAAGTCCGAACTCACTGGTATTTTTTTCTCCATTTGTATGAAAACAAAATATACTTCTTAAGACTGGATGTTTTGTGTCACAATGTCACAAAGAGTTATAACCCCATAAATGGAGGCCACTAACTTACAGAACTCAGCATCAACAGAGCCTATTTCTTTCTATTTTGTCATAGAAAACATATTCTCTTTTTTTCTTTAGGTGATTTTGCTAGTAATTTAATTAATTTTAATATTTTAATTTCAAGGCTGCCCAACTCTACAACTTTGGGCATGGTACAATTAAAGAAGAATGAAAGAAAACAACATACTTCCACAAAAAGGGAACACAACCAACTGGAAGATTAACACTATAACTATAAATAATTATTTAGTGTAAACACTTCAGAACAGTAATTATATGGGGCTTCTCTGGGTATTTATTTCAGTTTTAAAAAATACTACTAAATTCATATGATCTTTCCTCGGATGTTTTAATTTTGCTAACTATGTGTCAGTTTGATTATATATGCATACTAGTCTGTACAAATCATACAGGTGCTTATAAATGAAATGGTCTTCTAAGTCCTTTCTAGCAAAATATATTTTAAGCATGACAAAAAGACCTTGAGTGAAGAACCTTCTTCCAATCTTTAAGCATTTGAGGTAGTTTTGTAGTTTCAAGGAATAGATCCAAAAGTCCTTTGTTTGCAGATGAAATGTCTTATCAAATGATTTGCATGACCGTAATACAGGTAATTTTCATCTGTATTTAATCTGTACTATTTGGCCAGGTGTCTCATCAATGGTTGCTCTTTCGTGGTATGCAGTAAATATTATAACTGAGGTTTTTGATCCTTTCTATGCTGGAACAAAGTAAGTCAATATTTCTGTATATTTTAGTTCTGTTTGGTATTTTTTTTAGCATTACCAAACAGCAGAGGATTGTGGGTGCTAATTCACATCTATTGTAATACGTTTGACATTAAAATTGTGTTGGGTTTCTTGTTATGTCTGTGCACAAAGATTAACACAATTAACAATAATGCTGTCATGCATTATTGCAATCTTTCTCAATTTTACCACTATTGAAAATTCTGGGAATGGAAAGTGCCCAGGTTGGGAACTTACTGGTTTTTCTTTTCTCAATACTTGATGTCTGTCTCTTGGACATATTGGAGTGCATGGGAAACAAGGACTCACCTTAATCTTTCTTCATCATTCTTGATCTTTGTAATACAGATGTAACATATCACTATAGCCCTTTTTTATCATCCCACTTGTGTGCATTCATCCCAGTTGTGCAAAAAGCCTTTAATTCTTCCATCCCCGTGTATCAGTAGCCTGGAGTTCTTTGAGCTTTCTTCTCCCTAAAATCAACTTTCTTTTGTACCAATAATTGTAACATATAACAACAAAGCATTTGATTGTATGTGGTGTTTGAATATGATATGTATGATCTTTATTCTAGATATGAAATGGGATATGCATTGTATCTAGGTTGGACTGGTTCCCTTCTTTCCATAGTTGGGGGAATCCTGTTGACATGTTCATCATGCAAATGAAATCAAAGGTATTTAAGGTGAATTATTCATCTTTAAAAAAATCACAGGTTAAATAGGATTTGTCTAGAGTGCATTTTAAAGGTCCAGCTGTGTACTAAAAAGAGAAATTAAGCATTAGAATCACAAGCCATTTCAAACAGTCTATAGGAAGAAATCCTTTACTTTATCAGGGTTTTTTCCATTCTCATGGTAAAATTCTCCCCTTACTGTAGTTATCTCAGAATAACAGAACGTCAGACAAGAGAAAATGAAGACTGCTGATATTCATGGGGTAAAGCTGGTGGGAGCAGCTAAGCCCTGAATATAAATACACTCCTCGAGTGTATTGCACACTCCTCGAGAACACAAAAAATTCCCCCATGAAGTTTCCCAATGCTGTACTAAGAGGAGGCAGTCTTTTAGATGATCAGATTTAATATTTCATTTTAATGTTTGGAGCCATTTGTTTCTTCTCTTCTGGAGATTCAAGCTATTTCACATATCACAAATCAACATAATACACACAGTATATTCTTGGTATCCTTCCTTTTATCCACATTTACTTACTTACTTAGCATGTGGTATATCATACATGGACTAGCAATATATGTTAACATTTCACCTAGATTAGTAAAACACAATAAAATCTAAATGTGTACATAAAAGATCTGTGTTCAAATACTAATCACACTGATTCCTAAGAATACTTTTAGATTCCACATAAGCTCCATAAATATTCTCAGAAAATGAAAATAGTGACTCAGCCCAGTGCTTTTGTCATTTCTAAATTCCTTCTCCACCCCACCTCACCCCATCCAAATATAAGAATATAAGAACATTACAGAACTAGACAGATGCTGAGATTAGCCACAGCACTTTAAATAAACTGTTTTGCTCTGGCCACACTTTGGCATTTTGTGAAGGGGCATGCCACTTATCACAGGCATTTTCTTTTTGATACTGTCAAAATGCCCCATGATCCAAAAAAGATTGTAATGTTCTGGTCAATACTAGTCTTGAAAACTTTGTAAACTAAAATTCTGTTACATCTTTCATTTTCATCACCAAAAATATAAGCTGCTTAGACCCGAAACCAGGCCTAATTACTGTATATATGTGTCTGATTATATATTTAGTTTTATGTATGTAGATGTTTTCTGTTAGCCACCTTGAATGATGAGGGATGGAAAGGTGGGGAAGCCAACTACATTATATTTGCATTTAAAACTTGAAAACAGCTTAGTTTTACTCAGCTACATCTATTTCATTAAACTATTTGCACAGAATGTATGCTTTTTAGCTTCACATTTGTTTGCAGTTTAACAATATGGAGTGTCTATGGATTTGATACTATCTAGCTCAATTATAATAAACAAAGAGAGTGGGAAATGTAATATATTTATCTCTATTTTTAATTACAGAGAACATGGATATCGTTATGCAACTTCAGGAACAGTTAATGAACCACAAATTTACATCAAACAGGCTAAGACAGTCACACATGTCAAAATTATGCTTAACATTTTATTTAAAACATATTTACATTTGATAAACCAATTCAAAACAATGCTATGCAAACTTTTCAAAAGGAGCACTTTGCAAAGTATGCTAATGCGTACAACCCATATCTCCTTCAAGTGTTAAAGCATCCATTGCATCCTCTGGAAGGCTTGCAACAGCTGATGAAAAACCTTCCCTGGTTGCCTGTTACTGTGTATGTGCACATTCAACACAGAAACAACCAGAAATAGCTCTTGAAGCAGCTGCAAAGCGTTCCAAATAATGTAGTGCTTTAATATTTCATGGAGGGGGGCTTCACTTATGCTTACAGAGTTTGTGAAGCATCTTTGTCTAATGCTTTGGCACAGCCCCAACACATCTCTTCCTCTGTAACATTTACCTTAGTGTGCTCTCCCATTTGCTAGCACCATGCTATAGCAATAGTTGGTGTTGCCATCATCTTATCATCAGTCAAAAAGTTTAAATTGTCTTAGCTATATTGGTGTTAATGTTGTGTTTTCTTCCTATTCTGACACTAAGAACAAACTCAAGATGTGCAAAATCTGTTGGGATTTGTAACCCACACTGATGAGCTTGGAGGAAGGCTCAGGAAGGGACTTGCATGTGAGACAGAGAATCTCACAAAAAGGTTTTCTGCCCACCCAAGATAGATGAATGGCATTTTAGCTCAAAAGTGGGAAAAGGTCCTTAAGTAGCTTATCATTTTAGTCTGAATATTATAATAAACATTATGGTATATAAAAAAATCATGAAAATTATTTAAATCACATAATCATGTAAAATGACATATCTTTCTTTGCTAAATGTACTATGTCACATTATTTTGGGACTTTATAAAGATATAATAATATGCAGAATAAAGCTACTTAAAATTCTGGAGGATTGAGAGTATATTAAAAACAGTATCTGGGAAGGAGCTAATTCTGATTTCTCAAGTATTTTTCAATAAAGATAGATGATAGCTAAGAGTTATCAAGTCATTATTGACTTCTGGGTGTTGCATGGACAAACCCATCTTGTTTTCTTGGCATCATTTTTGGGAAATTGCTACTGCCTTCTTCCTATGATCTTGAGTAACCCAAAATCACACAAAGTCACGCTCATGATCTTGTTTCTAGCCAAATTGCATTTAATGATTATATCAAAGTTGTCCTCAAAGCAGAAGTGGCACTTCTCCCTCCAAAAGATTTGGCCAACCCATTATAGCTGCATTTAATTATACTTAAAATTGAGCAGATTTCAGAGATTTGAATTATGTCTTATTGAAAGGTTTGTACAGAACTTTTCAGCTAGTTTTTTAAGACTGCAATAATAAAGTAGGTGATCCCAGGGCTTTTTTTAGTATATTAGATTCAGGTGTTACCTAGAAGCATCTTAAATCTTCCTCTTTAAAGAAATTTCCCAACATTGTAATCTAAATCAATGTATTTATTATGTGAAATTGTATTTGAAGAAAGACTTCTTTGCTGCTGTCTTTGCAAATGGTCTTCATATTTCTGCAGCTGAGACCAAAATCCTGCATTAGGCTCTGCCGTTGGTCTGGCATTCTTCACAATCTACAGGGTAGGGGGGAAAGCACATTGCATTTATTATAAGGACTTTTTCTCCCAAGCCTTTTGTCCTTATAAATTATAAAAAATATAGAATGCAATTGTTATAAGAATTATAGTTCAGTGGTAGAACAAGTATTTTGTATGCAACAGGTCCAAGGTCCCATCCCAATCATTTCCAGTGAAAAGGATAAAACAGCTATGAGAGGGAAGATGCCACCACACCCAAGGTCTACTGCTAATCAGAGCAAAAGATGATAAGGTAGAAAGAAGTCTGATATGAAATAAGGCAACTTCCTGAATGTAGCCTTTTCCCAATAGCTCTGGCAGGGCTATGAAGTTAGAAAGCAGTTTGATAGACCAACTTATTCTTGTTGGGAGGTTGTTACTTCCCTCCTAACTTCCTGCTTTTGTCATTTTTTAAAACTTTCTTTCTGATTGGAGTCGATGACCAAGGACAGAGATGGCTAACCTTTTTGCTGTCACGTGCCAAGTGGGGACAGCGCGGGGAGGTCGCGCACGCACATGCCCACATTCATAATTCAAGGTGCCCCGTGCATGCGTGCACAACCCCCCTGCGCTCCCCCCACTTTTGGCATGTGATGACACAGTGGACTCGGTAGGCCTGTTTTTCACCCTCCCCAGGCTCCACCCCACTGGAGGCCCTCCGGAGGCTGGAAACAGCCTGTTTCCCAACTTCCGGTGGGACCAGAAGACCCATTTTTCGCCCTTTCAAGGCTTCCAAGGCTTTCTAGGAGCCTGGGAAGGCCGAAAACAGCCTTCCCCCCCCCCAAGTTCCCGGGAAGCCCTCCGGTGGCCGGAAATGGCCCATTTTCCGACTTCTGGTGGTACCGGAAAGCCTGAAAATCAGCTGGACAGCATGCACATGCACGCTGGAACTGAGCTAGGGCAATGCTCGCATGCCCACCAATATGGCTCCACGTGCCACCTGTGCCTAGGTTCGCCATCATGGACCAAGGATTAGAGAGGCATACTCATAATTTGGAGAAGGTATGATTTGAATTGGATAAACTCAATATTTAGATGTGTGCATCTAAAGACTGGTTTAGCTTTCTGTGACATAGCTGAAGTGCAATTTGCAAATAAAGAAAAATATTAAATTGTGTTAGGCAAAGAAGCAGGAATTGATGCCCACCATTTATGAATTGGATTGTATAGAATAAATTAAAGTTAATGAAATGATTTCAAGAAATACTAAGGAACACACACACCCCCAACATTTCTTTCTAGAGTCAAGATTGAAGGCTATACTAATTCTGGAGTAATACATTATTGTTTAAGAAAGTCAGAAGTTTGGCTCAAGCAGCAACATCTCTCATATCCACACATTTCCTGTTTAACATTGTTGCTCAGTCAAGAAACAACACAAAAACTGATAGCAGATGAGAAATTATAGCATGAGTATCTAACTTTGAATCTCAGGGTGGGAGAACATGAATTATTTTGCTTTCCATAGGAAAAAAAAAGAAAATAGAGAAATAAGTGATGCTTCTCAAAGCTTGCAAGTAAAAGTAGCATAGACATTTCATTTTTGAAATGTCTGGCATTAACAAAATATTATATTATATAATTGTTGGAAGTATAAACTTTTATCAATTAAGTTGACAAATTTCAGTTTATGGATTTTTTTTGCTTTCAATCATATATTAAAATAATTTACATTTAGTCTTCAGAGTTCACTTTTTTTACGTTCCCATTAGAGTTAATCAGATGAGATTTAAATTAGCTATTATCATAATTCAATTGTGTTTTGGCACTTTCATTAAATTCCTTTATAAAACAAAATGCTGAATCATTGTTACTGAGATGGCCAATGTATTCCATCCAGTTAAATATTTAAGTATTTGTTTCATACACCGTCAAAGTATAAGTCCATTTAATCAGATACAGAAGTAATTTTTATTTTCAGCATGCTCACAGTACCTCAAAGGCATCCTTCAGCCTGAGCTTTCGATGCTTCATCAAGTAAGCAGTGCAGATAGTTGCAGATCTGCTGCGACCATTTTTACAGTATACTAAGCACTTTCCGCCTCTTTGGATGGTGTCTTCCATGGCATCGCTGCAATGCTCAAAATACTTATACAGGTCCTCCGAAGGATCATCAAAGACAGGGATTCTCAGCAATTGGCCTTGCTGAAAGCTTGGGAAGGGCTGCTGTCTGGAGACATTGATACAGAACGTGATTCTCTCTTGACTAAGGAGACTCTCACAGCAGGCTGATCTAGAATTGCTAATGAACAAAGAATCAGCAACCTTGCAGAGGGACAACATTTGGTGGTGAATGACAATATCACAGCAAGAGAAGTGCTGCTTAAGATTTCCGGGGTGGGGGGGTGGGGGCTGAGAAGAACAGGAAATATGGGATGCCCAAAAGTAGCGTGAGGGTAGATTGTCTGGATCGCTTGTTCTTTAGCCGTCTGTGCACTGTGCTATATTTATTCTGCTGGCAGCCTCAAGGATTATATTACAGACTGTTCCACCCTTCTCTAAAATTGCAGCAGTTTGATTTGAGCCTGTTTTATCATACAGCAAATATATTCAGTTCAGTAGTCTAGCTCCGGATCAATAAACCAAAGCAATAAGGCCCTTCAAATCTACAAGGGGAGCATAAGCTATGTTCGAAAGCATTTAGCATGCTGCAAGACCACAATAACACAACAAAGCAGCTGATTAGATTTCCTAGTACAGTATTGGATAAGAGTGATCTTAATCATGGTATCAATGTGTCAATATTTATCAAAGTCAAGCTAATGTGTTGAAAACTTTAATCAGTAGAGAAATGATTATATAATGTATTCTAACCCTGGTCTATAAAATTCCTATACTTACCCGAAACAGCTAGATAGTGGCACAGCAATCTCAGAGCTAAACTATAAGTATTTACCAGGAAGGACAAGTAAAGGATCTGCAGCTAGGTGAATGGGCTCAGTTACAGTGGCAATAGGTGCAATATTGGAAGATCTGAAAGATCAGATTAGGGAGAGGTTGTCATGAAGAAAATCTATGTGGTCACTTGGAATAAAAAATGACTTGATGGCACATAATCAATAATCAAATTTACCAGTCTACAAAGGTAACATTTCGTGCAAGGTAAAAAGAAATCCTTTTGTATCACTGATGTTACAGAATGGTGGTTATTCCTTCTTCAGCTCCTTCATTTGTCCAGAAAGTTCATAACGAAGAGATCAATTAATACACACGTGGATATCTGAATTAGACTGGACATATTGATAGCTATTTCACATCAACTCACAAGATTCCCACAATTTTTACAACATTAAAAATAAAGTTCAAAAATAATTGTAAACGCATACGATTAGTAAGGCAGCATTTGAACAATATTAAGATCAGCAAAAAAAATTTTTTTTTGATGTAAAATCATTCCAAAATTCTCTATTCACTATGGCCAACAAACAGCTCAGCAGAGAAGAAAATCCAGGAAAAGCTTCCTTAAGTCAATGGAAATTTTTGAAGAATTTGAAAGCAGAGTGGAACTATGGAAAGCTACAAAGAACCAACACTGGATGGAACCAGTGGAGGAGCTGGCACCTGGGTCTGGCGAAAGCTAGAAAATACGGAAATTGTTGGATACTCAGCACACGGGTACAAGATCCAGAGACACTCTGAACAAATGGGGCTAGCCGATGGCTTCTGTTGCTTGTGATTGTGACATGCAGAGAATAACACATATGTATCCCTTTGTATTCCCATCAGTGTACATTTGAGAATCTCATGGCCGCACAATAATGCAACTAATGTTGCTAGTTTCTTGGCAAGATATGTTTAATTTGCACATATTTTAATCTTGTATTTTATATTTAAATTTTTTTGTCATATAATGTGCCTTATTTTAATTGTGATGCTTTTGTCATGAATAACATTCCAGAGTTGGTTCTTTGTAATAGTAATTTGTGCACATTCTTTCAATGATTTCTCCAAAGGCAGTTTTTATGCTGACAACATAAATCAGATACCAAGCATGTGAGTATATGGAAAAACAGACAGTATATGTAACAAGTTTGCAGTATGTTATCAAACATAAAGAAAATCAATAGGTTAGGAAAACACGTGGCATTTTAATGGAGTCTCAGTTTAAAGAAATGGCACAAAACTACATATACACATCTACTAAAATTACCAGTGTCTTTTCCCTGTTTGGGGAAAGTACTAAGACCCCTTCCCATAACTAATGAGAGTTCAAGGAGTTAGAAGAGGATTAAGGCAAACAGGCAACAAAGCCCAGTACATCCATGTTCAAAATAAAACTGAATTCTTCCCATACTTGATGCATCACAACTGTAATTTTCTTATAGCTCTCTACCATAGGAAGAATGTACCTCAAATATATCAAATCCCGTAAAGGTATAGTTTTCTAAATTAGGAAATACAAAATGATATTGAATTTCTGTTTGGACATTACATAATGGAGACTATGATTAAGTACTATATTTTCTTGTATGGAATGTGTAGGAATGATAGGTTATAAATATCTGAAATATAAAAATTTAATGCTAGAGTTGATGTTTACCAGAATATTCCAGAGGTTTTTATAGCTCCTGATAAAAACCTTCCTCGGAAACAGTTTTCACTGGACTACCTAATCAAGAAACCAAGAATGCACATATTGACACACAACTCGCCATGTGGAAAATTAAACTGAAATCTACCATGAATTAAGCCTGTGAGAGGTGCAATGAAAGCAGTCCAGTTCAGAAGATCAAGTGCCAGTATTGGATCTCAAAAACATAAGCTTCATGGTTCAGTTGAAAGCTTGCTAATATGGGCAAATCAGCATCTTGCTCTGAATGATGTATTCAAAATAGAAATAATTACCACTCACAAGGTATATGTGAGCTCGAAAGATTAAAAAAGATTTTGCCAAACAAAAATAAGGTGATCAAGTACAACTCCACAATGTGTGTTGCAAGCTATATAAATGTGTCACCTATTGCTAGTACAACACAATATATACTGCAAACAAAATGGCTGAATCCATAATTTTATTGCAAGGGAGTTTTATTTGCAAAACCATGAAATTTGAAAAATATGTTTGTCTCAGGGGAAATAAAATTCTATATAAAATTCATGAACAAAATATTTGATACAAATATTCATAAAAGGGTTATAGTGAAAACCCTGACTTATGATATAACTATTACTGTCCTAGCCTCCTATCCCACAAGGCAGCCAATAATTAAAGGATATTAGGCATGAAAAATAATGTTTGGAGGATAAAGACCATTCACTTTGTGGAATATTTATTAAGGTAATTCAATATATTAAATAAGACATGAGCTGATGGAGCACTTTTAAAAATTAAAATAAGTTGCTACAAATTTCTAGAGAAGGAGAAAGAAAAAAATTTCCCCAATGTTCTTCCCAAAGCAAGAAAAGCATCGGGGAAAAAAGGCATTCAGTTCTGCTACTAGCCAAACACTTTCCAGTGATCTGGAGTGAACTATGAAAAAGACTTGATAGTACATCATCATCATCATCACCATCATCTTCATTAATGAAATATCAAAAGTTCTTTTTCCTGCACTGCAAGAGATCCTGTGTGCCTCTGCACATGTCATCTACATAATGCAGTTGAGTGTGGGGGGGAAACTAAAGCAGAGAACCCCACTTTCCACACTCCTGAGCACCCCATAAAGCCAAAAGTGCAGAAAACTCTGCATGACTAGAGAAGGCTCATTTCCTTCCCAAGCTAGGTTCTGAAATAACAACAGCCCTATAAGTACCACGCTCTTCACTCAGATTCTCAGTTAGTATTCCTTTGTGGAATGGGAAGGTTCTCATGAAGGTATTTCATGCTCCCTTGCTCAGAAAAGTCAGAAACAATGTGATTTTCCCCACGTAGCAACCACTTAGTCGTCAAGAGCCCCTCAATTCCCACTGGCCCACGGGCATGGATCCGTGATGTGCTGATCCCCACCTCAGCACCTGAAAAAGAAAGATAAAATAAAAATGAATTTAAAAAGAAACAGAAAGGGGGAAATACTTTCTAATGTTACAGGCCATGTTATCCAGATCATGTTTTCCCTCATTTCAAAATCTTGCCAGCATTTATTCATTCTTACTCCTTACTCAGATTACCAAGGTTCCTTTTCTGACACAGTGTTAAATGGAAAGCAGTTAAATGTGTTCAGCCAATATCTGGTATATTTCTATTTAAATTGCATCCTCATGCTAAACGCCTACATATTTTCAACTACAGCTCTTACTTTATCATTCATGTCATACCCTGGTTGTTACAGACTGCTGTTGACAATTGCTTCTTGATTGGTTCAATTACATCTTTCCCACAATACTTCCTGAATAGGGCATTTTAGCAACATCTTACACTGGTTTTATACACTCTGCTCCTTGTATAACCTCCACCTCATTAAGATTCTTCCTGCATTTTGGCTTAAATTATTCTAATACTAAAATATCCCAAAGCTTTTCAAGGCAGTTTAGCAAATCCCCTTAAAATATCAAATGTCAGAAAGAAAGTCAATCATACTTGAAATGCAGATAGGTTTAACCTCAAGATAATGTTTTGTGTTTAGCTTCAAGCATGCAGAGAGCAAGTAGCACATTCCCTTACCCAGCCCAAAACGATAGCCATCTGAGAAGCGAGTGCTGGCATTCCAGAACACACAGGCACTATCCAGGTGCTGTAGGAAGAACTCTGCTGTTTTCTCTGAAGATGACAAAAGGGGAAAAAATCATTCTTATTGAATAACCTGTTTTATAATAGCATTATGTTGCTGTGGGCAATTCTAATGCAGCAAAAATCACCTCTTTGAACCTGTTCTATGTGTTGCACTATTTTTTTTCATTAATGTGATGCTAAGATAGTTTGCACGATGCTTGCAACTAAGGATCAGATATTTTGTCATAGATAATTCTGTAAATTATATTTCTGAAAATAGAACCTGCAACACAAATACCTGTGGCCACACTAAATTTTCACTGGAGATGGCAGTCTCAGCCAAAGTATTAAAAGTACTCAAAGTACCAGCTCCAAGCCCTGCTAATCACTCCGTTTGTATGTGGATACATTTTTTTGGCCAATAGAGGGATGCATCCCAAAGAATGATCATTCTGTCCAAATAGATCAGTGGAAGAAGCATGGAACAACAGGCACCTGAGAGCTCTAGCAACATAGAGCAGCCTTGGAGACAAATAATTAAAAACAAGTCATAGGGAGGCCTCTTTCAGATGTTACTTATGAAGTAAGAATGCCACAATATATTCCATCTGCATTTCTCTGGAAACCTGAGGAAATGCCGGTCATATCAAGGAAGGTGACAAGAGCATCTTTCCTTGGGAGCTTTGTTCACAGATCTGGGACTGGAAATGCTAGTGAGGAAGCTGCTGTAGTTAGAGGCAATGGCAGAGGGGGAGGGGGGGAGGCGAGTATGCATTGTGGCATTATGACACAAACTTTGCCCTTGCATACTTCTATATATGTTGTGATGGAAATACAAAAGGACAGGGCTTGTTTTGTGATGTCATGATGCAGTTTTGTCATTTTGGTATGATTAGGATTGAGTTGTGGCCAATAACTTCAAATGCAAGGGAAGAGAGGCAGGAACATGGGAAATGTCACCTTCTTAAACAGGAACTTCAGAAGCAGCCTTTGTGCCAACTGTGTGAAACCCTCACACAGACATGTGCATTTTTCTGCACTAGAGGAGTTGATTTTGCCACTAACCATTCTCTGTGATGATTACATCTGTGTGGGAGCTCCCATATTTATGAATGTGCTCAATAGCATCTTGTACACTGTCCACCACTTCAATGCAGCATTCCAGGTCCCCATATTCTGTGCGTAGTGATTTTACCTCTGAAGGGCTAAACGTAAGATAGGAGGCAAATTTGGGGCCAGCGTGTACCTTTACCTAATGAAAGACAAATACACTTTACTATGCATTCTTTTCCTAATCATTTTTTGCACAAAACAGTTTGGCTACATAGATGACCCAATTCACACATTGAACAACACAATCACTTGCCTAATCATGATTGAAGTAAGCCTTAATTGGATTTGCACATCTTATTAAACTGTAAGTCGCAAGTTGCTGAGTGTATTTTCATACAACCAAATATTATTACATTATTTGTTAAATTTATATTGTGCCTTTTCTCTATGAGCTCGAGGTGGCTTACATGAGCGATTATTTTACCCCCGCAATTGACCTTGTAAGGTAAGTCAGTCTGAAAGGATGATTGGCACAAAGTTATCCAGAGAGTGAAGTATGAATCCAGCCAAGTAGATTAGAGTACTAGATGTTGTGTGTTTGCATGCAGAGTACCCAATTCAATCAGTGGCATTTCCAGAAAAGTCAATGTCTGAAACTTTAGAGCCCCATCAATCAGTGAAGACCAGCCTTTTCTAACCTGGGATCTTCCAGATGCACTTGGACTGCACCTCTCAGAATTCCCAGGCTGCATATATTAATTTGGCTTTGGGCAGCATCTTATATTCTTCTCTATGTGTCTCTGGAAAAAAAATCTCTCAGCATTGGGTCAAATATTTTCAGTCATGAACTTTTACATAGGAATCTAGATGAGGAATTTCTATCTCATTTGTGAGGCTAGTTCATAGGTGTTTCTTTCAATCCAGCTCTCGGCCTCTGAAGTTGTAAATAAAATTCTTTCACAATCCAGCACTATAATCTGGTTCCAAGTATATTACACAATAATTAACCAATTTTTATTGAGGAATTCTGCGTTTTCAAGGACTTGGGCTCAGGACCCTCAAAAAGAACCTCATTTTCAAATATCTTCAATTGTTTTCCAATCTAAATAAGATTGCAAGCATCTTGAGAATCCCAAAGCTAAGATGCACTATTAGAAAGCCTGGTTTTAATCAATATGTGTTATCAGGGCAAACAAATGCTACTACTAGTTTGCTAAATATGATATATACACCTTACTGGTGCATTTAGAAATTTCTCAGTGCATGCATCAATAGTGTCATCTTTTACATAACACCTCACACAGCACTGAAATTACTGACAGCCAATTTTTTACACTTAACCCACACTGGAAACCATTTTCACTTGCCTGTTCCACCCGCAACATGTCAATGATCTGATCAAATACAGGAGTTCTCAGTAAATCCCGATGTATTAGCAGTGTCTCCAAAGCATTGCAGGCTGCAGGATATTCACATTTTGAGTCTCTTACTGGAGGAAGGATATATAATTGGTTTAATTCAGTGGCATGTTTAAAGATGCTGGAAAGCAATCTTCCTACAGAGTGTTGGACTACATGTGTCATTGTTTCACGAACAGTTGTTTTACAACTGTTTGAAGTTATGATGGCCATGGAACAGCTACTTTATGGCCTGTAAAACAACTTCCGATGTCATAAATGGTGATGCCACTTTCCCACAATCATGTGACTGCATTTGGATGGATCAGCATTACAACTGGTTGTAGCTTCTGCAGTCATGTGACAGCAATTCACAATATTTTTTGCCAATTTCTGGCAAAAAAAATGCCTATTCCATGTCCCCAAAAAAGGACAGAAAATTACTTCTGGTCATGTGGGTGCCTCTACTTATGATTGCAACAATCTACACCTATAATTCCAGACTCAATTATGGTTGTAAGTTGAGAACTACCCATATTGCTCCTATGTTTGGGAATGTTGCCAGTTTTACTGTACATTTGGAGCACAAGACTACTCTATAACATCCAAAATATATAGATAAGTAGAGACTTGATGATAGCTCACCTCCTCCATGCTTACCCTTAAGAAACAAAATCTCTCACCTATTCTAGTAACTTTCTCAACACTAGCTTCCAAGTCCACATAGATATGGCAAATCCCTTCACTGTGCCCCATCACTGGGATTCCTTTGG